ATATATATATATTACAGTTTATGTGCAGTATGCATAGAGCAAAGCAACAATTTACAGTACTGCGGTGTGACAGACAGACGTGTCAGTGAAGGGTTAACCCCGTCTATGTATCCTCCCCCAGCTAAGTGCTATTTATGAAAAGTGTTACCAGATCATGTGCTCGAAGGACCGTGATGTGCACCGGCACAGGGGTGCCAACCTTCACTTCTGCCAGTGCCGTCTCCATAGTGACGGGCCTGAACGGAGACAAGAAGCATGAGATCAGGGATGTAGGTCCCATTACAAGTGTCACTTGCAGCCCTCATTTATTAGCACACTCCATCCTGGAGGCCACGGGAAGTGCTGGCCACCTTCGAGACACACACATCCAATCAGCAAACATGCAAACTTGCTTTAAAGGAATTGTCCGCTAGGTAACTTAGAGAAAAAACTGCACTGATAGAAAGATGGAGGATGCTATTAGGAAAATGCTAGGTGCCTGGCTGCCTCTGGCTTTAATCATTTCTGAGTAACGGGCTTAGATTCTGTATATGCAGCAAGTTACATTGTGCTGAAGATGCATATTTTTCAGGCAGGTGACTTGGGGAGTATTGAAGCCATTGGATAGGCATGACAGTCAGGCAAAATGCATTTTCAAAAGTAAAAGTGGCCTAAATACTTATCTCTGTACAGGATTCCTTAAAACTCTCAGTCACTTTTCCCTTAATCTCTGAAAAATGTTATGACCATAAGAACTTGCCCCAAATACCCAAACAAAACGAGGATTGTTTAACTGAAGACATTGAATTATACACTGAGTGGCCAGATTATTATGACCACCCCATCAGTACTTCCTTGGGCCGCCTGGTGACTCCATGAGATGGTGAAAGGTGATGCGAGGAATCTGACACGGCACTGTTGCCCTTCTGTTGTCTTGTACCAGTCTTGCCACTCTCCGTTCTGCCCTAACATTGACTAGTCGCTGACGGCCACAATTCGCACGTTCAGACCCAGATTTTCGGCTGACAGTCCGGTCTTTAAACACTTTAACAACAGCTGCTCTTGAACATTTAACTAATTTTGCTGTTTTGCTGATACTCGCTCCATGGCTCCGAGCGCCAACAATCATCCCACGTTCAGAGGCTGTTAAATCGCGTTGTTTCCCCGTATCTTCAGAAACAAATCACTTCTACTGTCGTGGTAAACAACCTGCTTCCCTATTTATAATGGTCTGGCCCTCTAGCAACTTCAGCGCAAAAATATAGCTAATTTGCCTACAAACGTCAGGTGGTCATAAAAATCTGGCCACTCAGTGTATACAGAGTTTGGAAACAAATAAAACAACAAAAATAACTAAATAAAACATCCCAGGACACACTTCCCAGGGACACGCATCAATCCCGAACACACATCCCAGGACACACTTCCAGTGACACACTTCCCGAACACCACTCATCCCAGGACACACTTCGCAGGACACCACACATCCCAGGACACAATTTCCAGGACGCCACTCATCCCAGGACACACTTCCCAGGACACCACTCATTCCAGGACACACTTCCCAGGACACCACTCATCCCAGGACACACTTCCCAGGACACCACTCATCCCAGGACACACTTCCCAGGACACAACTCATCCCAGGATACACTTCCCAGGACACCTCTCATCCCAGGACACACTTCCCAGGACACCTCTCATCCCAGGACACACTTCCCAGGACATCACACATCCCAGGATACACTTCCCAGGACACCACTCATCCCAGGACACACTTCCCAGGACATCACACATCCCAGGATACACTTCCCAGGACACCACTCATCCCAAAACACACTTCACCAGACACCACTCATCCCGGGACACTCTTCCCGGGACGCACATCCCGGGACACCACTCATCCCAGGACACACATCCTGGGACACCACTCATCCCAGGACACACATCCTGGGACACCACTCATCCCAGGACACACTTCCCGGGACACACTTCCAGTGACACACTTCCCGGGAACAGCACTCATCCCTGGACACACATCCTGGGACACCACTCATGCCAGGACACACATCCCGGGACACCACTCATCCCAGGACACCACTCAACCCACTCATTCCTGAACACTCATTCCAGGGACACCACCCATCCCCTGACACCACTCATCCCCTGACACCACTCATGAATAATACCATTAGGTTTGTTTGTAGTAATAGAGCGCGGTGTAAATAAATCTGAAGTGTAGAGTTATTTAATGTCTCACATTCCTGATTATTATTATTACTGATCTGTTACTTTGTACTCACCAGAAGGTGGAGACATTTATCTAATTTATCAACAAATGTAACAAGAAATTTCAGAGTGAGACTATGAATCCCATTTCACCTGCTGAGTCCATACAACCAGATAAAGGATCAGTGACTGTAATAGAGTCATCATGTTATTGTACAGGAAATCCAGCCAGCCCAGCAATCCCCAATATAATCTAACCAATCTATCTCTGTCTGTCTGTATGGTGTCTATCTATCTATCTATCTATCTATCTATCTATCTATCTATCTATCTAACTGCAAAGGTAAGGGTTAATGAGGATGTGTCCAACCCTTTCCCCATATTTAACAGTACCCGTCAGGGATGCCCACTATCACGCTTACTTTATGTTATAGTGATGGAACAATTAGCAGCTACTATTAGACAAAATCCTTTGATTAAGGGCATGCCTGCCACAACACAACAACATAAACTGGCATTATATGCAGATGATTTACTCCTATTCATAACCTCCCCACAGGTATCAATACCTAATATTCTTAAGGAATTGATGAAATATGGTGACCTAAGTAACTTCCATATTAATATATCAAAATCTGAATTTTTGAATATATCACTAACAGATGAAGTACAAACGCGCATTAAGGAAAATTACTCATTTAGATGGAAGCCTAATTATATTGCATATCTGTGTATGAACATCCCTAAAGACCTTAATACACTTTATGCTATAAACCTCAGTGATTGGTCAGATAAGATTTTCGTTCAGTTTCAAATATGGAACTGTATGAGCATGCCATGGATTGGGAGAGCTAATGTACTTAAAATGGATATTCTGCCCAAAATATTATAGACAGTACCTATCCTGCTGCCAAGATCTTTCTTTCAAAAACTTAAGACGGCAGCAATCAAATTAATTTGGGCCAATAAAACCCCACGGATTAGTGTTAAAGTGTTAATGAGATCAACACAAAAAGGAGGACTGGGAATACAGGACTTTGCCTTATACCATAAAGCAGCACTACTAACAAGAATATTGGACTGGATACATAGTTGCCAAGTTAAGGGGGGAGTAAATCTAAAGACAAATATTGCCCCCGTACCATTGAAGAATATCCCATGGATGGCACCAGCGGATAGGCCTCACATGACCACTCTGCCATATTTAGTTAAACCAGTGCTAAGCATTTGGGACAGAATTATTCATAAATATAACCTATCGTCCATTCCAGGCCCCATGACTCCTATAGCAGGGAACCCACAATTTACACCGGGTATGCAGGCGGCTCCTCTCTTGAATTTTGAAAATTTTTCCCACACACAGATATGGCAGGTTTTAGAGAAAGGTAAAGAAGAACTAAAATCAGAGCTTAGACCGGAGAGACAAAACAACGGAAAGTTATGGATGGAGGCAATGCAGTTAGCGGATTATATTAGATATCTCAGGACCTGCAAACCCCTGAACAGACCATTTACTTCGTTTGAGAAATTATGCTTGAGGAAAACAAAAATTGAACATGCATTATCACAGGTCTATGGTCTGTTGAGAGAAGAAGAAGCTAAAGGTCATACAAAATACATGAAGAGATGGGAACAGGAGTTGAGGAGGGAGGTTTCAGAGAAAGAATGGGGAAGAATATTTACCATGGCGCAGAGGCGTAACTAGAACCTTCAGGGCCCCGGTGCAAGAAACTATGAAGGGCCCCTCCCAACCCCCCACCGCCATGGCACTGTCTGGTTAACAGGAAGGCTGCCGAGGTCCGCAGCAAGCACGGGACCTCAGGCAGCCACTTCAGTTTAAAAATGTAGTGCCGGTGTTCTGTCGAGAACTCCGGCCCAGTATGCGCGCTTGCGCACAGATGGGATTATCGAGGAAAAAGGCATTTATTTACAAAGTATTTTGTTTAAATAGTTAATTGTGACCGTTAATAATATGCCGTCCATGGCAGTAAATGATGGATGGAATATTATTAACAGTCACAATTAACGATTTAAACAAATACTTTGTGAATAAATCCCGGTTCCCTCAATAATACCGGTCTGTGCGGAAGCGCAGATGCTGAGGCCGGCAAATTCGACTACATCGGCGTTCTTGACAGAGCACTGGTATCTGCGTTTAGTATCGGGGCATTTTCACGCGTATGAGTACTTGTGAAAATGCCCAGTATTGGCGAGTGCATTTTCACGAGTTACTGGTGCATCCCTACTTAAAAATATAATGCATTCCTGGGACATGTAGTCCCGCATAGTTGGTGCTATTCTGCATTGCTCTATAATGATTATACAGCAATGCAGAATACCACCAGATATGCGGGACTACATGTCCCAGCAATACATTATAATAAAAGGTAGTGGGGTATGGGAAGTAGTATACAAGTGTAGTTTGTGGGGGGGGGGGGATATCAGTGGGAGGGGGTCGTACACAGACAGTGAAGAAAAAAGAAGAGGCAACGTTGAAGTAATAGTCATAACAGGACTCCCATTCTAGATGGAGAAAAGGCAGAAAATCACGAAGACCAGAGTGGGTTTCTGTACCGGGAGAATGCCCGGGCTGTCACGGAGAGAGGGGAGCTAGAAGGGGCGCCACAGTGTCACGTTGGAGAGAGCTAGTAGAGGTGCTGCTGGTTGTCCTGGTAACAGTACGCTATACCTCTCCAGCGGCGTCTGTCTCCTTTGCACAACACCAGTTCGTCCCGCCCCCTAGCGCATGCGCCGTGTGGGCATAGGGCTTCCTAGGCTTCTCACTGGCCTGACGTTACAGCAGGGCGCCGAACATCAGCGCACACGTGCCTCCAAGTTTGCCTCTAAGCAACTGCCCATGAACGCTGCGGGCAGCTTGAGGGATCTGCAGGCTCTCTTTCTCTCCGCCCCCGCCCCCAACTGGCGGAATGCTAGGGCCCGGTCGCAATTGCGACTGCTGCGACCCTGGTAGTTCCGCCAGTGCCATGACGCATAGTTCTGTCCAATCCTCATTTTACCAGGAAAAAGCTTCAAAATTCTGTCTAGATGGTATAGATGTCCAGAAGGAATTAAACATATCAATCCTGGAGAGTCAGATAAATGTTGGAGATGTA